AAGTTTGAGCCTGTCACACTCAAGGTAATCATTGTCTTTTTCTTAAAAACGAAAACAAAACAACCCACCCTACTTCATTAACATGATCAGTACATAATGGACCCACAATCATTTTTTTACTGTGTTAGATATAGGAATGTGAATTCATGTTTACAGGTTGCTAAGTAAAACCCTTTTACTTGCAAATTACCCGTTATCATTCTTACATCAGCCAACATCCAGCATTAATGTTTTGCACTACCAGATACTTTGGCAATCAGTGAGTTGCTATATTCTTTATACTGTGGAAGTTATATTGAAATGATTTTTAAAAATAGAGTCAACAACACCCCACACAGCAATACAAGTCAAAGTGCTAAATCAACACCCTCAGCCAAAGCCCTAACAGCTCAAATCAACCAGAGAAGAAGGTAAGCAACAATTTTCATGTCATTTTCTGCTGTGCTAGGCATGAGCTGACGCAACTGAGGGGCCAAAATAGGACCCCTTTCTGGTGAACAGATCAGCGTAGTGACCAATGGGTTCATGGATGGCCCTGCTCCATTCCTGTAATATTCTATTCCGAAGCTCATATGCTGGCCGTGGTGTTCAATCCACCATGCAAACCTTGGTTGCAACAGGAGTCTCCAAGGCAGCAAAACAACACCTCTCACCCCACCAGTAGAGGCTGATGGAGGCCAGCAGACAGCTGCATCTGCTACATCCTAACATCCAGCAGTAGCAAGTTACCAGTGGGGTGTTAATAAGATTGCAGCCTTAGTTGGATGGGACTTGTGTGCAAGGAAATGTGCATACAGTTCTACCCAAGATCAGAACATAAGAATCAAATAAGGAGACAATAGCAAATTTCTGTTCTTCTCCATTCTTGCATTGTGGCAAGAGCCCTTTAAGCAGGATATGGATTTGTTTAACACATCTTTAACCATGCTTTTCAGCTGAAAAGTACTCTAGAACTGTTTGTATTGATCAATAACAAACAAGATTGTAAGCAAAATTTAAAAAAAATTAAAAAATTGTCCAGTAGCACCTTAGGGACCAACTAAGATTGTAAGCCTGACTAAAAAGCATGACACTAAAGGTAAAGGGGATAAGGAGGGAAGAGAAAAAAATAGTGTCAGGGAACTGACATTGGAGCCAGAGGTGGAAGGAAGGCTCTCCAATGATGCTGGAGAAGGGCCCAGCAGGGAGAGAGGCAGCTCAGCAGATGGGGAAGCAATTCAGTGCAACACCAGGAATAAGGAGGGGCAGATGGGGAAATCGGCGAGAGGGCTCCCAGACTCTTCACTGGACACCAGTGGGGAGAGCACTGGTCCTCCGCTACCCACGCCCTCCCTGTGCAGAAGACTTCCGCGCAGAGAAAGTAGGAGGAGACTGGGTGTCAAACAACTTTTATGTTGGAAAAGGTTTAAGAAACGCCCACTGACGGATTCTGCTAGCGACTGAGGCAGCCACGAATTGAAGGGCTGTCCAGACAGAAAGGTTTAACAAGGCAACATAGCCAGGAGAGGCGGCAACTTACGCACGAGCAACCCCATACCATTATAAATAGGTATCAGTCCTTAAAGTTATATAGTACCAGCTTGAGTGAAATCAGTTCAGGGAGAGTCTATCTCTGTTGTAGCCTGGGAAAATAGATGAGGCTAGAGGACATTTCAGCAACAGAGGAGCATGATGCATCTGGTCTCTTAGCAAAGTAAGCAGAGATGCTTGTTTTTCTTGATAGCCAAAGATCAGCAAAATGAAAAGCTCCAGTGAGGGAACAATTACTTTTGACTGAGGAACAATTTCTGTCAAGCAGTTGCATGTTGCTTACCACATCAGAATATTGCTTCCAGGATGGTTTTTGTGATGGAGATGTTAAAGGAAAACTAATATAAATCACGCAACCAACTCTAGCTTCTTTCAAAAGAGGATATGAAAATCAACTGTGTCCCACTTTCATTTTTTACTTTCCTGGTTCAGAGACTCCCAGTTTCCAAAGCAGTGGGCTTGTCCACACTTGAATATTCTTTACCTGTTGATCCAATTCAAATTAGACCGGAGAATCCACACCTATTTGAATTTGTATATCAGAAGCAACTTTGGTCTTTCCTGTTCATGCCAGGCCCCTTTGTGCTGACCTTCAGCTTTGTAGATTCTGTTATGGCGATTAAGTACTACCAGGGTAAGTGCGCAAATCGCTGCCCACACATCTTGTTTGTTTGTTTGTTTGTTTAAAATGGGGAGGCAGAAGGATGCAGTCAGGTAATTTAGGCCGTTCAGGAGTGTGCCCAAAATAGTTATGAGCATGGCTGGAAAAGAAATGGGGGGGGGGGGACCCAAGGAAGTAGTGGGCATGAAAAGGACAAAGCTCTGAAACAAACAATCTGTGCCCCTGAGTGGAGTGGTTTAGAGCCCCATTTCTCTCAAGTTTTTGGATTATCCCCACATAGCGTAAGACCAAATTTACAAGGGGGAAACATCAAGACTGATTTTATTTGGAGGTAACATCATGTGGCCTACACAAATTAAATGGGAACGCAAGTAGTTGCAAACACCCAGTGGACAAGCCCTAAACCATAGGTAGGCAAACTAAGGCCTGGGGACCGGATCAGGCCCAATAGCCTTCTAAATCCAGCCCGCAAACCCGCAGGGAATCAGCGTGTTTTTACATGAGTAGAATGTGTGCTTTTATTTAAAATGCATCTCTGGATTATTTGTGGGGCATAGGAATTTGTTCATCCCCCCCCAAAAAAAATATATAGTCCGGCCCCCCACAAGGTCTGAGGACAGTGGACCAGCCCCCTGCTGAAAAAGTTTGCTGACCCCTGACCTAAACCTTTCCCTAGTACAGGCTGCCTCAGCTCCTACTCCAGGTTCAATGTGAGATTTGCCATACCTCTCTTTCACCACTGCTCTGAGTTTCTTTGATTCTCTTTCTCCCTTTCTCTGTCTCCTTAATGTCTCCTGACCCCTTCACTCACTGGCTCCCCTTTCACTTATGTTGGGTTTGGGCAGATTTGGCTAAACAGGGACTGAGTGGCAGGTTAGATAAATATACCAATACAGAGTGTGTGTGTGTTGAACTAATTATTTAGTTATTTGTTTAGTGAGTCATATTTTGAAAAACTGTTTTACCACTTAGCTTTTCCTTAAGTCCGCCCCCTGCCTTAGGGATAAGGGAGGTAAGAAATCAAAATAAACAAATATGTTTATGACAGCCATTTCTTAAACTGTTTACTAAACACCACTTCAATATAAAGCATGCCTTAGTAAAGAATCTGCAATCTGTGACAATTAATTTTTTTTAATTAAAAAAATCCAATCTTATGCTTGCTTTGATGTGAACAAAATATTTAATAACAAAATCTGTTCTGCTCAGCATAAAATATCAACATGACTCATCAGCAACAGATTGGGTTTCCTATGTGCATTTTTACAAACACCTCCAGTGTATATTTATGCAACTGATTTATAATTAGTTGAAATGTTGAGGGTTTCCTCCATTGGTTTAAGGAAAGAAAATGCAGGAAGATACCAGTTGCAGAGGGAAGGGCAATAAAGAAATCTTCACATATAAAGGGGGGAAACAAACATTTCCCCCCAACCCATTGTGTTTCGAACTAAGTTCTTTCTCCAGGCACTCTTACAGTTTCAATCTTGCTTGCAAAATCTTGCAAAATTTCATAAAAATAGCTGCAGTGGTTTTCCTGCAAGCACAGCTTGTACAGTTTTGAAGTGGTTTGGAAAAAAAGGACTAAATCTCTTACATTGTTTTGTGGACACTTTTTATGGGAAAACATGAGAGGTGCCCTTAGATAAGAAACCCATCAAACTATAGTCAAATATATCCAGGAGGGTTTGTGTTGGGCGCCTTTATAGTTGATTGGGGTAGGTGGGAATAAAATGAATTTGTTTTGTAGATAACTATAATGGAGGGAAGGTGATTTTACTGACCTAGTCCTGCTTGGTTTCCTGGTCTTAGTTGAACTCTCACATGGCTGCTTTCCATCATTCCTGACACACTGTCAATGGGGCTGTCATGCTTTGATGGGAGGTTCTCTCATACCCAATACTTTTGCAAGCTACCTTTAACTATATACCTCTTGCCTGTTCTCTCAATTTCTGTTTTACCTACTTATTGGATGGACTAGATACCACAGGTGCATGACTCACTTCCTATGGATGACAGAAGACTGCAAGCAGACAATGTGCTCTAAATGCCCACATGACTGAAATTTAAAGTATTCAGCACCAAGGATTTTAATTTAAGAGATCTTGCCCAAAAAGATTATTAAGCAATTGCCATATTTTTCGCTCTATAAGATGCACCAGACCACAAGGCGCAACTAATTTTTGGAGGAGGAAAACAAGAAAAAAAATATTCTGAATCTCAGAAGCCCAAACAGCACGAGGGATCGCTGCGCAGTGAAAGCAGCAATCCCTCTTGCTGTTCTGGCTTCTGGGATAGCTGCGCAGCCTACATTCACTCCATAAGACGCACACACATTTCCCCTTACTTTTTAGGAGGGAAAAAGTGAGTCTTATAGAGTCTTATAGAGCAAAAAATACGGTAATACAAAACAGCATTTTTGCTAGGTCTTAGATGTAAAAAAAAAAAAAAATTGTATTGTAATTTATCAAGCAGAAGAATATTTAATGTCTTGTTTCTTTCAAGAACACTGAAGCAGTCTTCTCACAAAATGTGAAATTACTGTATGACTGAAATCCACTGGTTTGAATTTGTATTAGCCTTCAGTATATTTTCTGTGCTCATAAAATAGGTAAAATAACTGCATTGCATACATTCTAAAAGTAATAGTTTTTGAAGGGCCGGCCCACCCATTTGCTTCACTGAGGCAGTCGCCTCAGGTAGCAAGCTGGGGACAGCTCAGGGAGCAGCAGATCAGGAAAGAGGGGCGTCCTCCCCCACCTTTGCCCCTCCTCCTTTGGCTGTGAATGCAGTGCTGCAAGGAGGGCAAAGCCAGCAATGGGCAGATGCACCTAGACAGTGGAAGGAGATGGAGGAGCTGCTGGAGCAGTGTACAGGCTCAGCAAGGAAGTGTGAAAAAGAATGGGGTGAGTGAGCAAGCGAGCAGGTGGATGACAGAAAGCAGCTGCCTCAGTTGCTGACCATGTGCACCATGGGCAGAAGGGAGGGCTTGGCCTGGTGAGGTGCAAGGGAGCAGACTTGAAAGGAGTTGTAGGTTGTGGGCAGGTGAATTTGTGGCAGGTGAAGGCTGAGTGTGTGTGTTTGTGTAACTCCACCCTTGGAGACTCCAGCATGAGGGCAGCCCCCGCGAGCATCTTGGGCACTGATATCGACTCTAAAGTAGAGAGTCCTTCCTCTTCCTCTCCCCCTCCCCATCCTGGCAGCAGCATCTACTCCCCCTTCCATTAGCTTGATGGCAAATTCAGCTTCCTAGGAATATGGGTTGATATTCTGGGTAGAAAGCTGAAAGGCTCTATTTCTATGAATAACAGGTACCGTCTTTTCTCTTCTTCCCTTTACTTTCCCTTCCAAAGGAAAGGAAAGTGGGACATGTGGGGAGGAAGGTGACCTTTTTCTGATTTGTCTCAGGTAGCAAAATGTATTGGGCCGGCCCTGGCATCTTACGTAGTGTCCAACACACCATTTTATCTGATTTTATGGGTTCAAGTTTAGTTATTGATGCCTAAGAATGCGGACAAGATGCCTTCGGTTGTATTTTTAGGTTTTTACTGGTCGCTTGATTTATTGTTTTTGTAAGTCAGTTTCAGCCTCTTGTGAAGAATGTGACTGGTTAATAAATAGCAACAACATATCACCTCTGCCAGTACAGAAGAAGCTGAACTTGTTTCAGCTCACTGTTTCACCCCAAAGGTCAGTCCTGATGGACAAGCTGGAATACAGCAGCAGGGGGCACTGTAGTAAGACAAGGGAATCACCAGAATTGTGGGAGGCTCCTTACACAAGCAGAAATGCCTTTAGAGCAGGCATAGGCAAACTCGGCCCTCCAGATGTTTTGGGACTACAACTCCCATCATCCCTAGCTAACAGAACCAGTGGTCAGGGATGATGGGAGTTGTAGTCCCAAAAACATATGGAGGGCCGAGTTTGCCTATGCCTGCTTTAGAGCCAGTACTGATTGCACAGTGCATGAAATGCCTCAAATGAATATTCATATTCTCCAGCATCCTTTGGGATCTGTGCAGTCTGACTTCAGTTCTTGGTGTTCATATACAGATTTCCCTGCCAAACCGCATCAACCACAGCAGCACAAATTCTATAAACAAATATGTAGAATCTGCAGCACACTGCTGCATTTCATACATCCATTAAAATGTTGTAGTCCCCGTCATTACTACAATATTAATTTAAAATTTTATCATCCTTGATGGCGTTTAATTTCTTTACTCTATCAGTGTTTTCCAGACACGTGAAGTGTCACATTGAGGCAAGATTTACATATTCATGACATGATTTGTATTCAGGATTCTTTGTTAAATGTTTATAAAAGATATTTTCCTCTTACCAATATGTAATTAACCCATACTAGTAGCCAAGAAACCTGAAAAACTGAATTCTGATGTGTGCTTTTTTTCCCCTATTTTGAAGATGGCAGTTTGTTAGGCAAATTTCAAAAATACAAAATGACCTAAAATGTTATAAAATATCATGGTAAGAAACTTCCATTCAAATGCACATTGGAAGGTTCCAAACAAAGTATACAGAAGTGAAATTGTAAGCTTTATTTATTGTTTTGTCTTCGGCTTCTTATACGAAAAAATATATATTTAAGCTGAATGACTAGTTATTTTGGATTAATGTCCCAGATATGTCCAGTTCAAAGCCATATATCCCATTAACTGGGTTGTCAGGTCACAGCATGCAGAATCAAGACTCTGGACCTCTGTTTATGAAGCTAGAGGTGAGCATTGGGTCTGCACCAACTACTCTTGAGCACCAGCTTTGGAAATATGATCCTAGTATCTTTAATCCACGGTTCCTTGTTACATCCCGAATTGGGAACTGTGATTTAATGTGGACTTACTAACCAGGAATTTAAACAACAGAGCAGCGCTACATTCACTTGGAACACTGGTTTGTGGGCAAGACTTCAGATGTCAAGCATGGTGAAAGGGGCTGTGCATTTCGTCTAGCCCCCCAAACTGCATGACTCCTGCCTCAGCTGACATTGGGCATTACATCTTTATCGTGGAGACTACTGTTATGTAGAGGGGGTCCCAATGCTATTTAGAATTCTGGACAATTCCAATATTATGTAGGAAGACTCAGGGCCGGTCCACCCATGGGGCAAGTTGAGGCAACTGCCTCAGGTGGCAGGATTCACCGGGGCAGCAGGCCCTGGTGACAATATTGCTTCCTCTGCTTGTTCCTAATGTAGATCTTGCCACACCTTATCTTCCCTTGTGTGGAATGGGGGCATCATTTTGGGATCCACCTCAGCAGCCAAAATGTTTTGAGCCAGCCACACACACACCAGTTGTTATCCACAAGACAGCAACAGCTATGGAAGGGAGTAGATGTGCATCTTTGGGGCAGGGTTAAACACATAGATTCACCATAATTGCCTCCTCATGCAAGTAATACCTGTGAGTCTTGCCCACCTACCAGTGTTCAAAGCAAATGCTGATGCATCATTGTTCTGAGGGCATCGCTGTTCTGTGAGGCTAATGAAATCTTAAAGCTGCAACAAAGCTGTTATATATTTAAACGTTTTTTTTTTAAAAAAAAAATCCTCATCCACCTTATATGTAAAGGTAATATCAATCCTGAAAAGGCTTAACATTCTTCCAGCTCCTAAGGGTTGCTAAATATCCTACTGCTTCTTTTGTGGGGGGGACAAATGGTTCTGTAAAAGTCAAGAGGAGGGCTATTCAGCCCAGCTCAATCACATTCACCGGCAATGTTATGGGATGTGTTCTGTGGCAATTCTTCTGACCTGAAACACAAAACATTGCCTGTGTGCTTTTCCTTGTATATTCACAAGTAAAAGGAGGGACTTCATTTCTTAAAATGAAATCTGCATAGTCAAAAGGGACCCTTTTGAACATCATGACCCAAGAGCATTGTGGGACGAGTGGGGATACCTGCCACCTGAACTTGGAAGTTTTCTGTTGAGTCAAATAATGTCGTATAAATGTATAGAAAATTACATTTCACACACACTTTTGTAGGTAAGTACTTTGAGATGAGCTGTATTTTTTTTATTATCATCAACACCACCATCAGAACTGTCATTTACTTTGATGCAAAAATTCAGTGAGGGCCATTTTAATACACACATTACTTTCCTCAAAACAAACATGAAAAATCTGAGCAAGAGATTATGTTTGAATAAACATTGCTCCTCAAGAATAGCCAGCTGTTGAAGGGATTTTTTTTTTGTTCTTGGCTCAATGGTAATTTGGTGAAATTAAGGTAAACGAATTCATTTTGAGTAAAAACGGATGGATTCAGCGTTTCTATTGGCTGAGCTGTTGCTATAGTAACAAATTCTTAGCAGCTGAAATCTATTAGTACTGGTCTTTTTCTCTCAATCTCAGGTTAAGCAGAGAATTTGTTGACATGAAATAACTTCCAAACACTTTGGTACTAATGGGAACTATTTATCTGCCCTCTACTAATTAGCTGTCGACTGTGGCTGAAATATATTAAATAACTGGGGGAGAAAGAAAGCTCATTTTCTCTCATGAAGAAACAGAGTGCCAGTAGAATCGTGTAGTTAATAGATATTCTGAAACTGTAATCCCAAATACACATACTATGAAGTAAGCTTTATCCACCAAAGTGGGACTTTTTTCTGAGTAACTAGGCACAGGGTTGTGCTGAATCCTGGATTTTGAAAACATGAGATGCAAGTCAAGATGGACCCCCAGGGATCTGTTGCCTTGTTGTTTATACAATATCATGCAGTTGAGGATCAGATCACATCTTGCTTTGTATCACTGCAGGTACTGCTTGAACATGTGCAACTGCTGGCATAGACCTTTCTGTTTTTTAATGGGAAACAGCTAACCTGGGACAGATCAGCTGTCAGCACTGTATGTTTAACAAGTAACACTTTTCCTAAATATCAGCTGCTGTTTATGATGTATGTTAAATAACTGGATGGGCGGCATGCCAAACACAAGGAGACATGACAGATTGTTCATGAAGCATGATACTGTCATGTCTGATAGGTATATACCCCAGCACTGGATGAACAGTGGAGCAGCTGAAGGGACTCAATGCAGTTGCAAGCAGACTTTTTCAGATGTCGGCTCCCCATATGTTGTTGATTTTCAAGTTATCATTCCTGGCCATTGGCCTTGCTGGCTGGGACTGTTGGAGTTGGAGTCCAACAGCATCTGGAATGCCATAGGTTTCTCACCCCTTGGTATTCAGTTCAATAAATATTATCAATTATAGTAGATGTGCATGCATGGGACTCTCTGCATTTCATTTCACTTTATCGAGAAAGTATCGACTTTCTCCCTGACCGCCTAATGTCCTCCAGATGTTGTTCACTCCAACTCCCATCATCCCTGACCACTGGCAGGCTGACTGAGGTTGAAGTCCAAAGACACCTGGAAGGTGCTATATTGCCTATGTCGGCTCTAAATAGCCTGATGTTCCTCCTTGTTCCTCCTTGGGGAGCCAAACTGTCTTCCCACCCTACCCCATCTCATAACAACGTGACAGTGGATAGCCATAGAGAACTGTGGCTTCCCAGCATGTACTGAGTTTACACCCTCCTATCACTCCAGCTTGTTTTCTTCTGCCCAGAAATAATCTGGATATTGCTAATCTTATACACACACTAAGTTCCGTTGAACTTAGTTGGATTTGCTTTCAAGTAAATTGTACAGGATTGCACTATTTTCACTAAAACGGGCTTCTAATTAAGCCAACACTATCAGAACGTTACCTCTCATATTGCTAGAGACACAGGAAGAGTGTGGAATAAGAACACTCAAGATAAATTTGTAATTCAAGGTTAGCTTTAGAGAGAGTAATTGAATGCAGAAAAGACAGTAAGAGCTGTTCAACAGTGGAATGGACTGTCCCAGAAGGTGGTGGACTCTCCTTCTTTGGAGGTTTTTAAACAGAGGTTGGATGGCTATCTGCCAGGAACACTTCAGCTGTGATTCCTGTGTTGCAAGGGATTGGAATGGATGATCTTTGGGATCCCTTCCAACTCTACGATTCTATATAAAACCCGCAAATCAACCACGTGAGACAATTGTACACATGTGCCTTTCATTATGTGTGAGCCCACAGGGGAAAACCCTTGCAACTGCACACTATGCATGAACTGGGCATACATGCAAAGAAACACATGTCCTTCCAGTTGCCATACATGTTTTAGTGTTCCTGTGAGCTGTAACTAGCAAAGCATTCCATGGCAACAGCCTTTGTGATGAACTTCTTCCAAGCCTACTGCTTGCCATTCTAGGATCACGTAACATGACTTAATGGGGAGGATGGCTCATAATAGGAGCCATTCTTATCATGGGGAAAGCAAGATGTGACCTCATTCTCCAATGAATACTATTGGATTCAGTCAAGAACTGGAGTGTTCCATGGTTTTCCTTAAGCAGACACAATAACTGTGACCCTGCCAACCACAAAAAGAAAAGAAGTGGTGCCTTGTCACCATAATTCCCCCCAGAACAGCTCTGCCGTTAGTGCATACAAATAAGGTAGGGGCTTTCTGTCTCTTTTGACCAACTGGCTAATGCTCTAAACCGTTCAGTTTTCCTTGAAATTCAAGACGTGAGTCTTCCCACCCCATAACATCACACAACACTTCTAGTATGATAGGAAATGTGCTCTGCTTTCACAAGCTAGTTAGCGTTGCAGGACACAATATGGCACTGAAAAGCTGTTTATTTGGTCAGCTTCCAAGCCACGGCAGCTGCAGCTGGCGATTAGCTTTGTGTGGTGTCAGTTGCATTTTTATCCAGTGTGACTGCGCACTGTTTGTTTTCTTTTGAAGACATTTGTCCTTGTTGCTAGCACAGCTGCAGATGGGGGCTCTTTGGATCAGCATTCGCAGAATGCTTTCTGTGGAAGGTGGGGGAAGGGGGACATGACCCACCCACAGAAATAGACCATCTCCATGCTTTTTACTTGGAAAACAATTTCATAATAAGCTCCTTACCATCACAGTTTTAAGCAGTGTGTGTGTGTGTGTATAGGGAACCACGTGGCTGCCAATTTGCACTCATGTTTCTGGAAACTGGTTGGATGACAGGAACATATTATTTGGCAACAGGTTCTGGTCAAACTGATTATCCAGGTTTACTCACAGATGCATTCATGGAATACACAAGAATGCAATTTGTGCTTAAGTATCACAGCCAGTACAAGAAGGCTAAGGCTTCTGCCTTTCCAGCTTGTTTCTGCAGCTACGCTGTTCATAGCAGCTTGCTGCACAGGTGTTAAACAGGTGATTCATGGCATGGAGATACATGTCATCACCTGGTAATTGCTGCTGTTCAATGCATGGTTACAGAGGCCTGTTGAAAAGTTGGCAGCTGTATCGGAGTAGGAAAGGAGGCAATAAAATGCTGTCTTCAATTACACATTGGCAAAGATTCTGCACTCAATGTAATGGATCAAGGAGTGCAATTTGGCCCAGCATCTGATATCAGTTTCCAGTTGGCTGAATCTAATGGCTCTAGGAAAGCCTCAGAGACAGTAACAGAATCAGAGCGTTCACTTTTACTACCTGTACAGAGAATATAGGCATCCCAAGGATGACCACTTTCCACAAGAGACCAAGCTTTTGCCCCTTTAGGAACTTCAAAGCAGGGCAACACTTAGTGGATGCAACTTTCCCCATTGTTGCAACACAGGGATTAAAGAAGCTGAGCCTTTACCCTGCCCAAAAGCTCTTATACATTAAAAGAAACCCTTGTCTCTTATAGAATGCGAACATCCTACTCTGGGCATTCTCTTACTCCAACCTGAATGCCATGTTAGCTAGGGTGTTTTCATGGGTTTGTTGTCCATTGGAACAAAGCTAACAGCAGGCATTCATAGCAGCAGCCCATATCTTCCTGTCTACAGCTCAAGGAAGCTTTGTGCAAATTATTATACACCAGCCTTCCCCAACCTGGTGCCCTCCAGATGCTTTATAATAGAACGCCCATCAGCTGCAGCAAGTGTGGCCAATAGTCTGGGATAGTGGAAATTGTAGTCCAAAACATTTGGAAGACACCCTGTTGGGAAACACTGTTGTTGTTGGCTTCCATCTGTCTTAAGAGACAATGGAGTGTGCCTTTGGGAGTGAAATCAAGCAGCTGGAGAATCGTAGCATCTGCTGTGGCTGCAGAGACCAGTAACTCATACCTGTTGCCTCCTTCACTGTTTTTGCTGTTTTAGCAGCACCAAAGTGACCTCTCTGGGGCACAAGCCTGGACAGCGCATATGGAGGTCCTGGGCTGCCTAGATGACATGACCCCTGCTCTTGGCCTTGCTGATGTGGTCCAAAGGAAAGCAGAGAAAAACATCTGGCACCAGTTGGGCTGCAGGAGTTGCCAGAAGGAAGCATACAAGGCACCATCCAACTGTCTTAGAGACTCCACTCCAGATTTGTGTGAGGTTTACTCCTTAGCCTTTTCTCCTCCTGAAGATGTCCCACAGGGCAGCTGCTACAGATTCTTCCTCAGGGTTTACTCCTGAAGCCTTTCTCACAAATGAGTATAGCCGCAAGGCAGCAGAAGTTTAGGACCAGATTTTTTCTTCCCCTGGATGGGTTACCTTTCCAGGTTGACAAGTCCCATCTGTTGTACACTAGCCATAATTAGTAATGGAAAACCAGTATTTTCTACCCATAAAATGAGCATATGAAAGTTGTGTAGGGCATTGAAGGGTCTGTATTGTGGAAAGCATGGGGTGGAATCCAGTTTGTTTCATTTAACTCATGGAAGGTCTTTTAATTCTGTGGTTACCTCCACAAATGAAAGACAAGTGGAGGCAATTTTTCCTAGTTTGCTCTTTCCTCTCTTCTCCCCCTTTATACTGTGTGGCCTATGTGTCTGGATATTAGTTTGCCTCTGAAATCTAGCTATTAGGAATCACAAGTGGGGAGAGTGCTGTTTCTTAGATCCTGCTTTCAGGCTTCCCAAAGGCATCTGGTTGGCCACTGTGAAACAGGATGTTGGACTAGATGGAGCACTGGCCTGATCCAGCAGAGATCTGTCTATGTTCTTACATTCTGTTTTGGAGGGTCCTCCAATTCCTTGGAGCTGATTTTCTGGGGTGCCAGGGGCTTCAAGATGGAGAAGCTATCAGCAAATGTTGCCTCTCCTCTTATTCTGATATTGGAGATATTCACTGGGTCAAGTTATGGAATTTCTTCAGAAGGTGCACCTTCATTACGTAGTTCTTGCGTATGATGAATACACACCTCTTGGCCCTGGCAGTTGACACTGCAGACATACCGTTTTAAGACCCACCTAATAATAATAATGTTGAATAATGTCTATGACTTCTTCAAACCACCATTGAGAAAGCTTGGCAGACAAGCCATGATTTCTTGCATTAAGAAAAATACAATTCTAACTCCTTAGTATCCAAACATAAAACACCCCACTTATTCTCCAAGCATAAAACATACGTATGGAGAAGGGGGCAGTGGAATCATGCTGCTGGCTTTGCCCTGATACCCTGCATGGCAGTGGCCATGCCCCCTTGATGCCCATGCATTGGCACTAGCATCTGCAGAAAGCCTAGCACAAAAGAGGTATGGTTTTGTTTTGGTTTTGGCAAAATGAGCTTCAGGGAAGACAAATTGCTGTTTGGGGTTGTTGAAGTGCTTAGCGGGGGCGTGGGAAGTCTTAGGAGAATAATGGTTTCAGGATATTAAAGAGGGGGAAGAGAGAGATGAGAATAGAAATTACAGTTGAGCATGCTGCTTATATACCACCAGCTTATAATTCTTCTGATATCAGCATCTGTCCAATTTAACAAGAGTTTTGCAAGGTCAGAATATAATCAAAGCTATTTCCTTAAAGGAAATTGTGATAATCTTTTTAATACTCATATCATAGTCTCTTCTGTCACCAGTATGTTGATAATCTCCCATGTGGAAAAGCCATTTAATAATAAGTCTTCATTTCTCTCTTTTTTAAAAAAAAATTCAAAGAAAATTGGTGTAGGTGGCAGCAATCATAAACAAACACACTTACTAAAGAGTAAGCCACAGTGAGCACAGTAACCAAGCATGCATAAGAAATCACTGCACATATGTCTCATATGATGGTCAATGAATCATGATTAATTTTACAGATTAATTAAATACCAAGAACGACAAAACTGAAAAAATGGGATCAAATAATTCATCAAAAAGGGTGTTACAGAGAGACAGACCCGAGTGGGGTTTCCACCCTAGATATGAAACAGAGACTGAGATTTGTGTGTGCTACTGACAGAATGTAATCTAAGATAAAGTTTAATTGGGCCATAAATCTCTTGTTGGAAGGAAAAGAATTTGAGGTCTGTGATAAGAACACTGAAGATTCTGGGAGTTGGAAAGGAGTATTAAATCTTCAGCACCTTTGAAAACTGCCCAGCTTTTCCTAGGCTGAGGGGAAAATTGTGAAGATCTGCGATGTCCACAGTAACTATGGCATGCGTCATGATTGCCAGAGCCACATTCTCTAGAAATGAGTGCATCAGTCTAAGCTGGGCAAAATAACTCCTGGTCACACCAGCTACCTGAGCATTCAAAAGTAAAGCTGGAGTACAACTATACTTACTGGCTAGGAGCACTTCTGACTCAAACCTCATCTTCGTTTGGCTCTAGGTGGGACCTCAGGCACTGAGTCAAAAACTTGCCTCCCTGGAATGCAGTGGACAAGAGAACTGGAACTTGGTGTCGTCTGAGCAGCAGTTTCATATAGATGTTAAAGGAGCATGGGTAGCAGAGTCGATGTGGTACATCAAAGGTAAATGGGCAAAGTGTAAAAGTGGAATCCCTTAGTGTTATCTTCTGAAACCTTCCAGGAAGGACCTGAACCACCATAAAATGGCAGCTCCCATACCAATCAGGCAGTCCATAAAAATGCTATGGGCAATGGAATGCAAGACTAGGAGGGTTGGGACATGTAGAACCAAGACTGTCTCTGTTCCATAAAAATGGTTCAAAATGAGCCCAGAAACCTTATAAATCTGCCTCTGAGCTTCTTCCTTCTAACCAGCTTCAGAAATCAGCTTTTTTTGTTTGTTAATTTTCTAACCTGCAATAACCCGTATGCATCCTATGTTGGGGGGAGGGGAGCAGAACAGAGTGATCTGCAACACAACTGGTCAGTTAGTTAAGTATTTATATTTATTTACTTGACTGGGGGAGGCAGCTATGCCCACGTTCTATGGCTGAACCTTTTACAGGAGGTTTCTGGAAATATTGCAAAATACTTATGGGAGATTAGAATAAAATTCATAATGAACAGAAAGAAAGAAAAACAGTTAATGTATCTTAGCACACTTCCAGTAATATTTGTAGACTGGCGAACATCTATCATGTTCAGCAGTTCCCTGTTTACAGTCCATTTTGCTCATAAACTATATTAAGAAACACCTAGCTGTGGCTAATTTAGGGCTCAGTTTAGGTGCTTAGCGCAAGATATAAGCACATGCTTATCCAGGATTCAAGAAATAGCAGCTTAGGGAGATATTACTTTAGCTATGTGCAGTTGTTGCTCAGATCTGTTTGACAGTTCTCTCTATTCCACTACTCTAAGGACCTATTTGCAGTAAGAGACTGCAATCAAACCACTTACTTCAGAGCACTGCCATTAAATCCCATGGGTCTCTTGTGATCTGAATGATACCTAGAGCATAAATATATTGTGTACATCTGCCCAACTATCCAATTTAAAGACACACAAGAATGGGTCTCTTTGAAAAAAAATCATTGTTTCCACTTCCTTTGTTTGTACATCACTCTGCGGAATGTTTGTGAAGCCCTTTCGGTTTTCACATCCCTGCCCAAAATAAAATGTCTTCTCATGTCTATGCAGGTTCCTATTGACATGAATTGAACAAGGTCTTAACTGTTTGTTTGCTGCACTCTAAATTAAGCTGAAGCATACCACCAAAATATTTTTCACTTCAGTATATTCCAAATGCTCCAAGGAAAGATCAGTTACCAGTGAGGTTTCTTTCCCTGGGCATGAGGGGAGAATTTCAGCACAGTGTGTGTGAAATTAGAAAGGCGAGTCCTATTACTGTTAATGGAAAATTTACTCTGCAATGTTCTTTCATGGAAGGCTGCAATTTTGTTCTGTCCATTTGAATTTTCCTTTGCATAAATTCCTTGCTCTGGTGTTAAGCATTCCAAGTGCTTTGTTAACGCATCCTATGCTGGGCAACCAGAGTTGAATTGAATTTGCACTGACATATGTTAGCTATGTCACAGGGTTTTGTGTAGATTTTTTCCTGTCTTCCTATTACACAATGCCTTCCTTATATTTTCAGGGAATGAAGTGATGTTTATTCAAGCAATTAGCATCCTTTCTAAAATGGGAACCTCCTCAAATTTGCATTTTTTAAAATTCAAGTTTATGTTATTTCTCTGTCAGCAGATTGCCAATGCACACCTGTATCCTGTTATATACTCTTCCCATTTCCATCCTCTGCTTTACAAGATAAATAGGTGCCCTAATATGGAATCCAGTCCAAATCTGCTATCTTTCAGTTTTGACCCTGTCCATTCATGTTACATGACAGTCCACCACCTATTTATGTGTCTTCTCAAAATTACCCTGCATTGCCTGTCCTGTATCCAAATTCCTTATATTAACCAGCAGTCTACTGTATATGGAGATTAACTAGCACATTTAGCCTAGTTTCCAGTCCATTTGGTTACCTTCTAACTAAATGTGATTGGTCAATGGATCAGTTAATTATTTCAGATTATGAATTTTAAGTAGAGATTTCCCATATAACGAAGTGACTGACTGCAATTTCTGTAAGCATCCTTTGTGCATCTCTTGATTCTTGGAATGGGCTGAATGGGTTTTTTACCTATACACAATTAACCTATGCTAATTAGCAAAGATAAACATCCTCATTAAATATTCCCCCAAAATAATCTGCATTCAAATTTGCTAATTTGTAATTAGTTAATTGGTGAATCAGCTAAAAGCAGTTAAGAGCAAGATGATTAGTTAGCTTAATAGCACAATGTTATGCATGTTTACTCAAAAGCAAGTCCCAGTGAATTTAATGGAACTTATTCCCAAGTATATGTGCATAAGTATTTTATGTATTTTGTTCATACTTTGGACACTGGTGGGAAAGAAGCAGCAGAAGACTATCCCTTACATTGGTGCTTTTGAAGCAATAACCTAGTATGGGGTCATTTATTTTCAGTATCTTTAGCTTTTCCTAGCATAAGAAAGAAACCGCAAAGTATTTTGACAGTGCTGGTCTTCACTTTAAATGGCTAAAAGTTTAAGATAATATCACATCACTGGTCCTATGTTGTTTAGGCTTGTTAATGCTTCCATGTTATTTATGCAACATATGTTCTCTACATCTCTGTGTGTGTGTGTTTGTGAGTGTGTGTGTATTTCTGGAAACACTGAGATTGCTGGATGAAATAATGTTTTTAACCCTACCTGTTTTTAGACATTTTTAACTGTAATAGGATGTTTTCTCTCTCTCTCTCTCTCTCTCTCTCTCACACACACACACACACACACACACACAAAGAGAGAGAGAGAGAGAGAGAGAGAGAGATGTTGATGTGTTTTCTGCCCTGGGCTCCTTTGGAAGTAGGACAGGATATAAACTCAATAAACACAATATATGCATCCCCCAAGCCTCTGTGCTTTTATTTATCCTTACAGTCATCACACAAGGCAGAGAAGTCTCTGTTAGGAGCCGGATGTGAAAGGCTTGGATTGAATGGTTTTGTTTAAGGCTCAACAGGAGCGTGCAGCATTCTAAGGAACTTAGCAGTTGTATGGCCATGCACAAAGCTAGCATTTATTTCATTGTCACCACTCACAAGCACAGGAAGCGGCTTTATACTCAGTCAGGCCATTGGTCCATCTAGCTCAGCTCGGTTTACACTGATTGTCAGTGGCAGGCCCATGCAGAGGGAGGAGCAGCAGCTGGGTACACTTGCCCTGGAAGGGCAAAGCCGGCTAGGGGTCCCTGCCAGGGACTGGTTGCTTTGTTTTTTTGTTTTTGTTTCTTTGAGTTTGTAACTTTATTCCAATAAAACTCATGCCCCTGGCCTCAGACAAGCTCTGCATGGGCCTGGTCAGTGGTCCAGGTTTTCAGATGGGAGCCTTTCCCAATCCTTCCTGGAGATGTCAGGATTGAACCTTGATATTTTGAATGAGAAGCAGGTGCTCTGGCATCAAGCTATGAATCTACTCTTGTTCCAGCAAGTACTGCTCTCTAGCCCATTCACACAAATCCAAGAAACAACTGTATATTTGGGCAATAGTTTATGTCCATTGATAATGTTCCTTAATCTTGGCAAATCAATCAGGCTGTGTAGTTAATTTGGGTCTGCATACCACCCTCTGCCTTTCTGAAAGAGCAACATGTTAGGCTGCTAACCTAAATATTAAGTAATGATTAGACGTGTGAAAGCCAGTCAGAAAGTTTGTCATACATCTCATAGAACACTTAAGGAAATCAAGTGCACTGTAGCTTGTATATACTAAGGGGAAATAAGGCTGGTGGATGGAAGATCATCAAAAGACACTAAGCAAGATCAAGACTTAACTTTACTTAAATTTATTTCCCATGCATATTACAGGGACAAAATGCCAGCTGTCACAAAGGGATTCCCACTTGCTTTTTTTAGACAGGCTCAGCACATCTTTGCAGCCTCTAGTCACACAGGAGGCATGGCAATTCTCTCCATTGGCACTTCAAAATGAAGACACTCAAAGTCTCAGAGCTGTGTTTCCCATGTTTTCCTGCTTTATATCTCATACCTAGTCCATCCATTTAGTCTGGACCAATATAGAAAACTGAAGCAGATTTCGTATCCTGCTAGGCTGCTAACCCAGTGGTTGCAGATAGACACACCATTACTCAAAGAACGGACTGGGGGAGCCAAACATGGCAGCAGGAAAATATAGAGCCAAGGCGGGGGGGGGGGACATGCCAGGCTACACAACTTAGGATTTCACTTTTCCTTCTTTTTCCTTCATAAGAAGTCTGACTGCCTCTCCCCTCAGAGGACTCAGGATCAAATTGAATGTGGTATCATTGGCTCAATTAGCAACTGTGTAATTGGCTTTTTAAAAGTAAATTATAGGTGCCAGGGCCCCAGTCTGGATCAGGCAGCTGGAATGGGAGGGGGTCTTAACTGTTTGCTGCTCCTGTGTTTCCAATCTGGATCCTATTTGCATGACAAAGGGGGGTTCTATTTGCTGCAAAGGTTTTTTTGTTTTGTTGTTTGTTTGTTTTAAAATGCAAGGTAGAGGGCAGTTCTGACAACAGAGAGCAAACTTTCTTATTTTTAAAAATCCACTGTCTTACGTTCACATAAACACCTGGGTCTCAGTCTGGATTGGTAGGTGGGGGCAGTGGTAGAGGTTTTCAGCTTCCTTTTTAAAAGCCATTCATGCAGTTGCTAATTGTGCGAATGGCATAACATCTAGTTTGGCCTACAGATTCACAAAAGAATAGTGGAAGTATGCCTTTGGGACATAGCAATAGCATAGGAAACTGTCCTAGATCTATCTCAACATTGTCTTACACTGGCAGGACTCCTGGAGGAGTCCCTCTTTTGCAGCCCCACTTGAAGATGCTAGGGATTGGACCTGAGACCTTTTGCATGCAAAGAGGTGCTCTACCAAGCAAGCGACAGTCTTTCCCCAAATGGACAATGTTGCACTGATGAAGAGACTAGAATACTAATGTACTTTTGGAAGGTTGTGGAATGACCTTCTGATTAGCTGTGTGACATATTGAATCAAAAGCTGGTGATCAGCTGCTTGGACTGGAGGAACAGGAGAAGAGGATGATACAGAACAAGAGCCAAAGAAGGAAATGCCATCAGACTGCATTCAGAAGCAAAATGCTAAGTCAGTGTTAGGGCTATTGAGCAGTGCTGAGAACAGATGCAAAATGCAATCATCTTCTCCTTGAAAACAACAGGGAATATGAATCCCAGTTCTGTGCAAAGAATGTGATAAGCCTTTGCCACATGATCGCCTTTTTCCTTTGGGAGGTAGCACATTTTACATAACTCCTACAATTTTTTTTACTTCTAATGCAAGTCGTTATTTACATAGGCTGATCCTGTGATTAGCATTTCATCTCTTCCCATGTTTACAAACTTTTAGCATCCATACAGATAAAATACTAGGTTGTTGGTTTTTAAAAAAACCCACTCCTAACAAACCTGATTCTGACTTCATAACTGAAATACTTTGCATTTGCCTTTGTTTGAATGAGATTTTGCTTAGTGTGTCGATTATCAAGCCATTGTCAACTTTAATCCTCCATAGAATCCTCTGTACAATTTTCTCTGCTTTGTGTCATCTAAAAATCCTAAGAATATAAAATGAAGAAATGCAAGCAGTTGAAAAATGCTGGACCAATAGTGCTACAGAATGCTACTTGTTTCTAGGACACCGTCACAAATTGCAAGCTGTACAATGTCCCCAAATTTTAGCCAGTTATCACTTCCCATTTTCCTCCTGGACATGAAAGGCCACCTGGAACAATAAACTGTATTGTGGGGAGCAGGCGTAAATAGGTTGGCACAAACCATATGTTGTTGTTTGGGGAATTGTTTTGTCAATCACACTTCATGTGATGCCACAGAAACACACACACACACACACAAATTTCTGGGGTCCAAAATCACCCCCAGCATACACTGGAAATATCACTGGGGTACTACAGACATCCCAAAAACCATTAATGTAATTTTAAATATTGAGAATGGTTTCGGATTAACCGGATTTACCCAATCGGACACTCTCCAGATGTTATTGGACTACAGCTCCCATTAGCCCTAACTAGCCCTAGCCCTGATGGTCAGGGATGGTGGGAGTTGTAGTCAAACAACATTTGGGAGAAACTAGGTTGAGCAAAGGTTAGCAACAATTAGCTTTTTATAGGAAAGGAGTAATGAACAAGAGGGAATAAGAGGTTATACAATGATGCCAGGTGGGCTGGAGGGAGGAAAGAAGGTGCTGCCTTCTGCTTCATATTTTCCATTTACTGTTGTACCCATGAGAGCAGTTTGCATTATTACTGAATTTGCTAAAGCACTTTGTGACCTTTTGAGATGAAAGGTGTAATTTAACTGAAAGCGAAATTCTATTTATCAGTGCTTTACTATCGTAATGAATGTACAGATTCGGGCTTTGTGCTTAAAAGGGGCTCTCTGCTAGACAAGCAACATTTCTGGAGAACAACACCTAGCATAATATAGATTGCTTTGTTGAGAGAATGGCTGTGGACTAGCATTGTTCAGTGGGGACTATAGTTGAGAATCACTAATGTCTTTCTTCCAGCAAAGAGCTATTATTTGGGAATGTTTTTCACATTATGGCTATGACATAGCATAACAGGCATTTGAATGTGTTCGCTCCTTCAGAAGGGTCATATCTGGGGTTCATGGCTCTGAATATCAGTTTCAGGGAATCACAAGTGGGAAGAGTGCTGCTTCACTCAGATACCATGGGCATCTGGTTGGTACTGTGGGACCAGGATGCGGGACCGTGATGGCCCTTTGGCCTGATCCAGCAAGGCTCTTCCAATGTTCCTATATAAGAATTTACTGCACCTTCCTTCCTTCCAATGCAGAGAGCATTTCCATTCCTGATTATATGGACTCACATGCATATTATATGTTATGCATTTGGTTGTATCCTGTATTTGCGTTTTCCAGATCCTGCTTTCAAATGGATGAAAAATTAACCAAGTTGACAAATATGATCCAGGGTGAAACAGGGATGAGTTGTTCATATTCTGTGATTCTGACAAAGAGTTCAAGGACCCCATATTTTTTCAAAACTCCAGAATTTTCTAGTCCTGATTGTGGCAAGGATGGTGTGGGTATCTTTTCACATGTGTAATGCATTACTTTAAAAGTTTGTGGACGGCCTAAGACTTCTATTAATATTAGTGTGTAACAGCACCTAATAGCTCCTGTAAAATAGTTGTAACTTGTCCCGGAGAAAGGCCGGTAAAATTTTTAACGATTAGAATAGTAATACATCAAATAGAATTTTGAGAACTATGCACAATATTCCAAATATGCTCATCCCATAAGTTGTATTATGTTACTTATATAATATATATTATATGTATTATGCATTATATTGGCAATTTTTATTTTTAGTCACTTTTCTAATTACCCCCAAAATTGAATCTACTTTATTCACAGCTGCTGCAGCATTTTCTGAGAGCTATCCAGTACAAGCATCAGACGTCTTTCCTGGATAGCCACTGCCAGTTCAGATGTTATAAGCATGCCTCTATTTATTGTCTTGTCTGCTCCCATTTTATTAATGTACAGTAATGTATTCTTGCTGCCCACCACGAGATCAGTTTGATATAGAATGGGTTGTAAATATCGAAATAAAATAAGAAAAAAAGCAATCCGTACTTGTAAAGTTAGGTAATTGTCTCAATATAGCAAGAGAAGTATGATTCAGAATATGGACCAAAGACTACAACCTTCACTTTGTAGCATTCAAGTTCTGGACTCTTCAAACATCCTTTTATCTATGCAGTTGACAACATACACAGCTTCACAAATCAAAGATGTCACAGACGCTACAAGAAATATCATCCAAATCACTTTCAAATAAGCTTGTATCAAGCAGTCAGGATGTCAGTTTAGTATCTGACCTGGAAGATGACACCTTCAGGATCATGCAAGAATTAGTAAGATGCCTAGACGATTTCTGTATTACCTACAGAAAATAAGTGAACACTTCTTGGCAGGAGGGTTTTTTTGTTTTGTTTTTTAAATCTTTCTCAGGGATGTTTTGTTCCAAATGGAGCAAGGTTCACCACTCAAATTAAAATGTAGAATATAGGACAGAATGGTAATTTAGGGAAAGAAAAGAGCTAGAAAAAACAATGCAGGAGATAGCAGAGTCGAAATGTGGTTTCCATGACAACAAATCCACAAGAAGTCTTTATATTCATATTGTTTCTTATGATGGATGGGCCTGTTTGGGGCAGGCAGGGTGGGCTGGCAAATTAGGATTTATAATCTTATTAAAGAATTGTTCCTAGTTTGAAACACATCTCTAAAAAGTGTAAACCCACCAGGTGGCATGTAGGATATAAACGTAGCGTAAGGTGCATCGTGTTTCACACTGAGCAAAGCACTAAGTGTATGGGACACTGGGATACATTTTGTGATGTGAAAATTGTTTTACCAACGCACCGTGTTCTCAATGATTCCTAAGTAGTAACTCCACTGTGAAAAATGTATACATGCTAAAATGTGAAACCAGCTTTGAACTGAATCATATTTCCTACTGAAAAGCACGAGTATTCTGCTCTAAAAATATACTATGTCAGGAAAACCAGCTGGACCTATTTGCTGCAATTTTCTGTGGCTTGTACATCAAGCTTGACCAAACCTGTTGAGAATAATAAACTTGAATACATATTGAGGACCTATTTTGTGTGCCTGAAAGCAGATATACCGGTGGCCGCTCTCCTTTGAGGGCCCAAGGACACTTATTTGGGGAGGCAGGGAGTGCCATGGGCACCACAGACACAATAGTTGCTGCAAGTTTTGTCTTACCACAACTGGCAACTTTGAGTGCTGCCTAACACAAAATGGTTATCATGGGGGAGAATTACAGCAACCAAGGTATGGATAAATTTAAGATAAATTTGTTAGAAAGCAAACATTGTATTCTAAAAGCATTTGTTGTGATGTTTTTTAAAAACAACATCTCATTAAAACTACATGCTTTCTTCTTTTATAAGAAAGCTCAGAGTATGAGCCCCATGAGAGCTGTGGATCCTGTACCACCATCCCCTCTGCACTTCCACCCCACAGTGGCCGTGCCAGCAGTAACATTTTATTTTGGAATTAGAATGCCAATAATAATAATAATAATAATAATAATAATAATAATAATTTATTTGTACACCGCCCATCTGGCTGGGTTTCCCCAGCTACTCTGGGCAGCTTCCATAGAAACCAAAAATACATTAAAATATCACACATTAAAAACTTCCCTGAATAGGGCTGCCTTAAGATGTATTGTGAATGTCAGGTAGTTATTTATCGCTTTGCCATCTGATGGGAGGGCGTTCCACAGGGCGGGCGCCACTACCGAGAAGGCCCTCTGCCTGGTTCCCTGTAGCTTTGCTTCTCGCAATGAGGGGACCGCCAGAAGGCCCTCAGCACTACTGCTTCTCCCTCTCAATAAATTCAATTTTGCAGAGGAAATAGATGTAAGTAGCAAATTATGAACCTCCACTTTTAAATTGCTTTGTTTTCCACTGTGAAGGACAGGATATTTTAACTCACCTACTTAGTTTTCTTTCAGGGCATATGAAATGAAACATAAACAAGATAATATATAACGGGGTAAAAAGCAAAAGGCATTCCTTGCTTTGGTTTATCAGTAATTTGGGTTAGGAATAACGGAACTAAATCCTGAAATCCATAGGCATCAGTGTACATTTTTGTGCATCCGGCAACCCGTTTTTCTTTTTCTTTAAAAATAAAACCTTCCCAAATGTACATGTACAATAAATTGTTCAATTATATATAGAGATTCAGACTGTTGGATGGGTATCAGTATCTCCAAGTTTGACATGTGAGAAGGCAGGAATAGACACAGGAATGAAAGGATGGACTCCACACCTTCTCAGATTATGTACTGCTTTACCTGAGTACAGTGGTACCTCAGGTTACATACGCTTCAGGTTACATACACTTCAGGTTACAGACTCCGCTAACCCAGAAATAGTGCTTCAGTTTAAGAACTTTGCTTCAGGATGAGAACAGAAATTGTGCTCTGGCGGCGCGGCAGCAGCAGGAGGCCCCATTAGCTAAAGTGGTGCTTCAGGTTAAGAACAGTTTCAGGTTAAGAACGGACCTCCGGAACGAATTAAGTACTTAACCCGAGATAGCACTGTACAACAGAGCATAGGCTTAGGTTGTTTTTTGTAGATTGTGTCTACACTCACACTTCGCATGCTGAGATGGGGGACTACCTAATGCTGATATTGTATTGGCAAACATGAGTTTCCAAACCTGGCTTTGCTGAGGTACCACAGAGAGTCTAGACATTTGTAGAATGAGAATCAGTGGGCAGGTGGGTGGTTATTTTTCTAGTCCTCAGATTTATCTTCAACCTCAGGACCCAGTTGGTGATAAATTCCTTAAAAACAGTCAGGACAGAATATGCAGGGGAGACACTGCCTCCCCTTGCCAATTCTCCTCTGTAAAAGCCACCCCCAGATTAATATTATAAGGCAAACATGGAGTTGGAAACCCTGCATTTGTATTGCAATATACAGTCCCTCCCCCAATGAGGTAGAAAGGAGTAAACAATGAGAAGGTGCCTGGAGAAGGCAGAATGACAGAGGTGAGAATGGCATCCTCTTTATTAAAACCCACAAAATATATGCAAGTAACTGATCATATACCAACTCTCAGTAGCCAGCAAGTTTGCTTTACAGTGTTCATTGTAGGAACATCATGAAGACATTACTGGGCAGTGCATTATTCTGTATAGGAAGAATATCTAGAAGGGATTAACAGGATGTTCTGAGTATCAGTAGAATTTCCCTGATGCACTGCCGAGGTTGATGATGTGAGCATTGCTACAGTGCTTGCAAGGTCCTATAACTGTATTTCACCATTTACTGAGACTCATCATCTGAAACTGTTATAGAAGCAGGTGTGAAACACTGCTAATTGGATGGGTCACTTCGGTAGGGTTGCTTTGCAAGAGCATATTAATCTTCTGCTGCACTGGTTAGTGAGCCTGACAATGGAAACCAAATAGGCCATTAATTATTGTATCTGTTTCCATTAATAGCAACAAGGATTATCGTTTATACCAATTGTTGGTATCTCAAAGTAGTTTATAAGCATTTACTAACAAATCTTCACCTCCTCCCCTGGAGAGGGGTAAGGTGCTACTAAGCTTACTTTGCAAGCTTGGAAGAACAAAGAGAAAAAAGAGACCTGTTGCAAGCTCAGCTCTGATCTGAAGTTCTTTGCCCATATTATGCAAAAGTAAAGATGGCTTGACACAGTACAGTGGTACCTCAGGTTACATACACTTCAGGTTACATACGCTTCAGGTTACAGACTCCGTTAACCCAAAAATATTACCTTAGGTTAAGAACTTTGTTTCAGGATGAGAACAGAAATCGTGCTCTGGCGGCACGGCAGCAGGAGGAGGCCCCATTAGCTAAAGTGGTGCTTCAGGTTAAGAACAGTTTCAGGTTAAGAATGGACCTCCGGAATGAATTAAGTACTTAACCCAAGGTACCACTGTAATAGGTTAATATGTATTGGTAGTTAATACGTAGTAAAACATCTTATTTTGATTTCACACACTTTCCTGCAGATTTCAATTACCATTCTCACATTACTCATCAATACAGGGAAATACTCTTCTTGTATGTAATCTGTCTATATTATTGGACAACAGGGTCCTTTGCAGCTGTTCACTGAATTCTTTAAATCAACTATATCTATTCTGACATGCTGGCGCGGTTACTGACGGCAGGTCCTGCTTTGATCCAGATCTGAACTACTGTCTGCTTGAAGGTCCTGGAGGCAAAGAGCAGTTTTTGGCTCTTCCAGGAATCTCTAGTAAGTAGCACAGTCTTTCCTTTAGACCCAAACTCAGGGGTAATGAGAGCATTTAAAGGAAAGCAGGGAGGCACAGGTTTGACATACCTTGCACAGGACTCTGCCTGAATATTAACAGAGGGCAGAGCTCTGATGTTGCCTCAGCACCAGTCAAATTGAGGCTGAGCCCTGTATATAGGAGGACGAGCTGCATTCTAACAGAAAGCTGTGCCTTCATTGAAAGGTGCTTCTTCATATAATGGGGTCATATCCACTCCAGCAGTCTTTTACTCCAACAGAGCCATGGAGGAAACTACGGCCACACCGGGACTTCTGTGCTAGTCCTCCAAGTGTGACGGTGGCAGAGAGGCCCGAGAGGCACCGGCACCACAGATTTGTTTTGTGGAAGTGATTCTGGAGCTGACCCAGCTTGTCACTCCGCTTCTGATTCAGAGTCCTCAGCTTCATCCTCTGCAGAAAAGGGATCTGACACCAGGTTCATGATAGAAGATGCATGCTATCAAAATGGTTCTGTAAAATATATTTATTTTTACTCTCTGTTAGGATTGGGCTGGTAAGCTTACTCACTCATAGCGCTAAAGGCAGATGGAAGGCATCCCTTGCAGGCAAGGCACTGAAATATCTACAACTTACA